TTTTTGTGTTCTAAGCTGTATTCTTTTTCTGTATATTCGTATGTTGGTATATGTAAAGCTGTATTGTTAGGGATGCGTTTGTAGATGTTCTAGTAAGATTATGATGTTAGGTTTTGTTTTTTTGATTAATGCGAAGGATGGGATTTAACTGATATAACTTCTTTGTATATTTTATGTTCAAGTGTATTGAGCCTTTGTCAGATGTCATGTTATATGTACAATTTATATATATGCAAGGTTTTGCATCAATGAATGTGTATGTATGTCAATTCATGACCCTGTGACAGTATTTTTTTTTAGTTAAGTTCTTGCCGTAAGTTCTTGTTGTATATTTGGCAGCAATATCTTGCGAGCATGTAGGTGCAATCCGTTTGTCAGTTAATTTGATTGATATCCATACTGTTTCTTTATTTTGATGTTAAACTGTATTGGTTTTAAATAAAATATAAAAAAAAATAGTGATAGTGTGAGGGAAAAGTTCAATAGATAGGAGTAGAGATATAGTAACGATAGTTTCATTGCCGGCTACTAGTTAAGGTAGGGTAAGTCACGCTCCCGTTTTTCCCGCCTTTTCTCCCCCACCCCTAAAGTGATAGTTTGACTGCCGGCTGCTTGTTAACGTAGGGTCAGTCTAGCTCCCGCTATCCCTTCCCCTCCCCCTTCCCCCCCCCCGAAAGGTGATGTGTGGGGCCTGGTCAAACAGTAAACACTCGACTCACAGCTCCAACACTATGTAAGTACTGCTGCCTTTATTCTAGTGGATTTATTGGTTAAAAGCTTCCTTTTGACCAATAATAAACTTAGTCCTTTCGTCTTTCTTAGGGGACTGTTGAAAAATCACCACGTCTTTTGATTTATTGTGCACTGCCAGGAGATGATTATTTAAGCAGTGGGTAACCTGTCTAACTGTTTTAGCTGGATGACAGTGAGGGTCACCTGTCGAATCAGCGAGAAGAACAGGAAAGGACTATCGTCCAGGAGACTTCCCCATTTTGTATTGAACTACCTGTTGCACATGGCTGAATGAGAATTGCAGGATGTAACCCCACAGTCATTGCATGCTGTAAAGAAGCGCTGCTAACCTGTGCACGTGTATAGGAAGAACACACGGTGATTTCTCGTTGAAGAAGATAGCCAGTGTGTGTCACCAACGACTATGGCGAACGCCCCCCCATCATCAGTCAACGGTTTCTAAATTAGCGGTTTGAATTCAGTTATCAATTTATAATTTTTCATTTTTTCATTTTCTTTAATAGTAGGATTATATTTCGATAGAGTTAAGTTGTTTTACAAAGCTATAATGAATTCTAGCAGTAGATAAAGGTGTGTTGTATGTTTGTCTGCTATTATGTTCTTTTTTCGTATCACAAATTTCCTGAGGAGGAGCCAGCCTGGTACATGGACTGGTCTGAAGTTGTTACAGGGGGCTGAGTAGAGCTTCGAGGCAAGTGCGAGGCCTTGCCAGGGGATCAAGCTCTACTGAAATCGAAGATTCAACTCCATGCTCGAATCGGTAGCCATTTGAGTCCACTGGTATCATCACATCCGCATACCACAGACGGTTACCACCAGCCATGAGTAATCATTCTCTATGGTATGGACTAGCGCGCACAGGTAATGTTAAAAGACATTTAGGGGTTGATTGTTACATATGTCTCCAATTATATTGTTAAGGACGAATATCAAGCAGGATATAATATTAATTATCCTGAGTAGGAGCACCATAATTGTTGATAGGGTAGCTGTACTACCACACTTGGGAGGATTAAGACTCATTCTGTACATTCACTTGAGGGAACCCAGAGGATTGTTGATCCAGTGACAACTTGTTCATTGAGCTCTTCATTTAATCAAGGAACTGGGTTTTAAGGAGGGACGAGTCTTGAATTAGGTTTGTGAGAAGATTGATGAGCAAGTGTGACCCCATTGGGCTAGGGCTTAGACGGTGTGTTTTGTGCTCGGAGCCGCATCGAACCAGGATCGTGCTTTCATTAATAGCATAGGTTATTATTTAATTGAAGCAGGGATCGGCGCCCGCATGTATATTACGAGTTTGAGGCGGGTGCAGGAATTGAACGGCGGCTCGCGTTTCTATTAATACCCCCTTTCATTTCCCCTGATAGTTTTTAATTCTTCTTGAATTATGGGCTAAGAAGCCCGTATTAGATGAAGCGCAGGAGATTAAGTTATGAATAACAGGGAAGAAATTTAGAATCATTCATTTGTGGGCTAAGATCCAGGAAAGACTTGTAAAGAGAGAGAGAATTGACAGAGAAGAAAGACAGTTAGAAAGGGAAAGAGAAGTGAGTAAAGAAGAGAGAGAGAGAATCGAAAGAGAAGACAAAAAGGACGTGAAGAGCTTGAGTCGTGAGGAAGGAGCAAGAGTACGTGAGGAACAGTTAAATAGGAAGGGAACTTGAAGAAAGAGCAAAGACAGAGAATATGAGTTAAATTGATAGATAAAAGGGATGCGAGCTCGAACAAACTCGTGCTTTGAAATTAGAGAATAAGAAGTTTAACTTTCTCACAACATCAAAAGATGATAGGAGTAATGGAACAACGTGCAGCTAGTGCTCATACTCCAACACCTAATTTAACCTCCCTTCACAGAGGGGAAGATATAAGACCGAACTTCATACATATCAGGTTTTAAAATACCCGCTACCGCTCAGTGAATTTGCCTGCTGACGAACCTGGTCTACCAGTTTAAGGAAAGTTATTTTCTGGTAAGGGGTCAGCTTTGAATATCATATGCAACTTTGTCGCAGGATATTATATGCAATTATAACCTACTGAAGAGCGATCCTTAAAGCATATCAGAAAAAACCACAAAATTCTTACAGGAAAGTGTTCAGGTATGCCACCATACAGCCTGGCCAGAAGTTTCAGAGCTACAGTAACACTACCATTCGTTTGTTCTGGCTTTTGGATAGAGAGTTCAGAATAGATCGCGGAGTGTATGAATCTCTTAGAGACTTCATGAGTTGCTGACCAGTTCCTTACAGCTCGTCCCCACCAGATAACGAACATTCAATCAGAGACTAACCTGATTAAAGCTGAGGAGTTGCTGAGGCTGCTTGACCTGTATGCTGAGCTCCATTTCTTCTTAAAACCCTAAAGGGATCAACCCTAAGAAATCAGAAGAGCCTCCTAAGTGGCAAGTAAAGATGAACTTCTTTATTATTCCTGTTTGTCATTGTGTGGTGTTTAAGGGACATAAATTTCCAGATATGTCCTTCTAAAGAAGGTCCCAAAAGTTGGAAGATGATTTAAGACTGTAATGACCAGCACCCATTCTGTTCATGAACAGTTAATGGACTTTAATGTATCTACCATTTTACGAGACACTGGATGCACAGTGTTATAGGATCATTCTGATAAGCTGTTCCTAACCTTAAAGAAACTCTTTCCCACTGCTTACTTTCAGACTACTTGGGCCGTACATCACAATTTTTACCTCCTACCCATCCGTGGTTACATTAGGTCTAAATGGTTCACAGGTTGTTATAATGCCGTTACCTTTAGCTCCCATCACTTCTTGCTCCGTACTAATAGGTAATATTAAATGTCCATTCTTCCCTTCTGAGGTTGACCTTTCATCACCAAATATGGATATAAGTTTTTCAGATCCTCATCTTGTAGATTCGGAGACGCCCTCGAAAGTTCAGATGTGACAATGTCTCGTGTGTCCATGAGGGAATTAAAACCAGTGATGCTACTCTCGAAAGCGAGGTAGTAGGATCACGGTCACTGTAAGTATGAAAGTGAGATATCCACCTCTGATACATAAATGTCTTACGATAGGCTCAGAACCAAAAGCCCATGCTTCCCCTACTGTCCGTCCTTTGATTTTTCCCTGACTTTAAGCCTTTAGACATATCGAAGGGACCACTTCCTTTGTCAATTTTCAACGTAAATGCCCTTCTCTACAGATTGCCATAGATGCCTGCTAAACAACATCAAGTTATCCAAAGAAAAACTTTTTATATAAATTTAATATATAAAAAGGTAGTCTAGCACCAGTCAGTATTCAAATTAAATTCAGATGAGACTGACAATTCCATCTTATTGTCCCAAGTCAATGCAGATAGACTGTTCTTAAAATGCTCATGAACCAGCCAGTGGCCGACATTTCTCGCATCGTAAAAAAAATTTTAAATAAAATTAGGGAAACCTAGTTTTGGCTCTAAAAGTTCTCAATGTCACTACCTATAGTAGATCGGTTGTAAAGTTTTGCATCTGTCATCCTCCCTGAGGTACCAGGCGAGTTCCTATGGTCAAAATGCCAATCGTTTACGGTACCGTTTGAAAGAGTAGCTATTGACATCGATTGGTCCTTTATCTCCACTTTCAACTGGGGGACATAGATAATATTAACATAAGTTGATTATGCTATCGGAGTTTCCCCTTTGGGGTAAAAAGCCGTTCCCCTTAAAGACCATTACTACAGAGGTGGCTGAAGCCCTATTTGAGACGCATCTTTCTCCAGAGTTGCATCCCTAGGAGAATTTTGTCTGACCGTGGGACACAATTCACATCTGGACTAATGGCCATACATCTATTACCAACAGCGTGGTAGTGAAGCCTCTCTTCACCACACCCTATCATCCCACTGTAATGGAGGATTGAACGCCAGCATCGATTCTCAAGTCCATTTTAAGGAAAACTTTGCTCCCTTGAACCTAAGAGAGTGACATCGTTACCTACCCCTGTGCTTTGTTTGCCATGAGGGAAGTTCCCAGTGTCCTTTGAGGTTTCTCACCTTTTGAACTTCTCTAATGGTAGACAGGCCAGAGGCCCATTGTCCATGCCTTCAATGTACTGAGGATGGACTAATGGTAGGGAAAATTGCTGAGGTTCAAGTATTCTTACTTAGTCATTTCTCTCCTTGACCATAGATCCAAACTTGAGGAGACCTCTTGACAAAGTTTCGAAAAACCTAAGTTTGTTAATGGACCAGTACAAAAAAACCTATTTGATTCCAAAAGTCAGAGAGAAGTTTTAAAAGTAGGAGATGAAGTTCTTGTACTTTTGCCTGTCAGCGTCAATAGAATTATGTAGTAGCATGGAAAGTCCAATATAAAGTATTAAAAATTTGTGGGAAAGTTGAATACCTCATAGGAATTCAAGGGAAACTAAGCTTTATCATATCACCACCATAAGAAATATTACCTCAGAAATTCGGTTAACTGCTTACTAACTTTGACTTAGTTTTTTTCCACACGACTTGATAAGACCAACTGAAAGAATGTTAAGGTGTTGTAATTGACACCTCTTAACTTAGACTATGATGCAGAACTACATGCTGGTGACTCTTGACCACTCGGAATGCAACCAACATTAAATATTAATGAATCTTTGGATGACCATAAGAAGACATGAAACTACTACAATGTGTAACTTTTCAGACGTCTTTACTGATATTCCCAGTGTTACCAGTCCACGGTAAGTCCAGGAGATTGACTTAGTGACGGAACAATCCAATCAAACGGAAATAAACTCATTCCAGTTCGCCCTTAGGGATGCATTTTGACCGAGAGGTAGACAAATGTAATTAAAACTAACGATCATTGAACCTTCAGTAACTTCATATTGTTTACGCAGTAGTCATGTTAAGAAGGAGGATAATCATATAGAACTTATTGACTTTTCAGAGGCCTTAATGCTTATAACTCGGTGGATGCTGAGCCTGTGCCCCTAATCAGATAGCGATCTACCCAAATTTATATGACGCTCCGTGTGCTTTTCAGAGATTGAAATTGCCAGGCATATCAGGATAATGTTAGAGTCCTCTAAGGCAGTATACACCGCTTTTCCCTACACACCAAGACTGAATCAGTATAGAACTATGCCATCGGTTTGGTAACTGCCTGTCTACACTACGTATACGATGAGAAAGGTCTTGGGTAATATGCCCAAATGTTCAGTTTTATTTATGAATAACATTTACGTAATCGACATCTACGTGGGGCTAACATATCCAAACATTAACAAGTTTTGCCGTAGGTTACGCTCACATGGCCCTTCACTGCCAAGCAGAAGAACATGCTTCCATGGGTATAACAAGATTAGATATCTTGGACTGATACTTCTAATAACACCCTGCAGCCACTCCCCAGTAAGATCAAAGCATTATTAGAATTTAATTTCCCCAAAACCAAGAAGCTCCATGCGAAGCTTATTCTTGGTTCTGTAAATTTTATGCACGGTTTATCCCGAACCTTTTACTGATCTACAGGCATCTTATCCGGACTTCCTTAAAAAGTCTGTGAATGAACATCTTGAACTTTCCGACGTACTCAGGATAAGTTTAATGAGATTAAAAGTACTCTTTCGAAAGACCCTATACTTACGAATTCCGTGATATTTAATCAAACCGTTTTGTTTGAGAACTGATGCCTCCGTACTTGGCTTAGGGATGTGGTGTTACTGCAATACCATGATGGAACTTTACTCCCTTTCCCTGATGCTTCATAAGCCGGGAAACTTCGATCTCCCTGAGAAACAAGATACTCTACAATAGAAAAGAATGTTTTAGCCCTTGTGTGTGGGTATCTCCAAACTCAAATTTTATTTGCTGGAAAATAGAATTCATTTAGAAAAGCGGACCCCCAAACCTTTGATAACCTAGAAATTTTTAAAGTGACCCAACAGTCTGCCCCTTGAGGTGGGACATTGCACTGCCATGCTTTTAAGTTCCATATTGTGACTATCAAATGGTTTCATGGGTCATCCAATTATATCTCAGACTGGTTAAGTCGTGACAGTCAGTAGAAGATTGTTGCCTAACGCGACTTCCACGCTAATTTAGTCAGCGACTTATTCCCGCCTTAATCTTCTATACTCTGACTACTTAGTCTTGGTATGGGGGAGTGTGGAGGGAAAAGTTCAATAAGATAGGGTAGGAGATAATCGTAACGATAGTTTCATTGCCGGCTACTAGTTAAGGGTAGGGTAAGTCATTGCTCCCGTTTTTTCTTTCCCGCCTTTTCTCCCTCCCCCACCCTAAAGTGATAGTTGATTGCCGCTGCTTGTTAACGAAGGGATAGCTCCCAGCTATCCCCTTCCCCTCCCCTCTTATGTTCCCCCCCCCCTCGAAAGGACGTGGTGGGGCTCTGGGTCAAACAGTAAATCACTTGACTCACAGCTCCCAACACACTGTAAGATACAGCCTGCCCCCTTTGTATTCTAGTGGATTTATTGGTTAAAAGCTGCACTTTTGACCAATTATAAACTTAGTCCTTTCAGTCTGCTCTAGGTTTACTGTTGTAATAAACACCACGTCTTTTGAGTATTGTGCACTGCATGGAGAGTGATTATTTAAGCAGTGTGTAACCTGTCTATCTTTTCAGCTTGGATGACAGCGAGGGTCACTCTGTCAATCAACGAGATAGAACAGGAGCAAGTGAACGAACGTTCATAGATCTTCCCCCATTTTGTATGAACTACCTGTGCAACCTGTATGAAATTGCCGGACGTAACCCCACATCATTGCAGCGGGTAAAGAAAACCTGCTTTACCTGTCATCGGGGATAATAATCACGGCTGATTCTCTGTGAAGAACTAGCCAGTGGTGGTCACCAACATCTGCGACCCCCCCCCCCCATGCATCAGCACCGCTAAGATTTCAACAAGCAGTGGTCACCAACACCAGACATCCCAAGTTTAAATTACATTGAATTCAGTTAACATTTAAAATTTTTAATTTTTTCATTTTCTTTAAATGTAGGATTAATATTTCATATTTAAGTGTTTTACATTCTATATTTTCTACATAATAAAGTGTTTATGTTTGTCTGTTATTATTTCTTTTTCTATTCACTAATTTTCCTGAGGAGGAGCCAGCCTGGGTAATACTGTCTGAAGTTGTTACAGGACTGAGTAAGCCTTCACAGATAGTAGTAGTAGTAGTAATAGTTGTAGTAATGGTGGTAGTAGTACTAGTAGTAATAGAAGTAGTAGTAGAGGCCATACAAGAGTGGGCAGAGCTTGTTAGTGGAGCTGTAATATGTAGCCAACTTGATCGCATAACAAACCTGACCACTACTTTTACTGGCAGGAAATATGTTCCTGTGCTATCATTTCACTGTTATCTCTTCTTTCCTATGTCTCTGTATTATTTTCTTAGGTTAAATATCTTGCAGAACAGCAACCAGGTGTTGCACAGGTGATACACCCGTGTTTCACAGGTGTTGCACAGGTGTCTTATTCATCACCTCATTGATATTATATACTTTGATTTAATTAAACGTTAGGTAAAGACTGAATGTTATGCAAAACTTAATTTCGTAATTTTATTAACATGTATTCTATAAAGCTTGTTTTTAACGTACATTATGTTATCTAATATATTATCTTCTACGTTAACTTGAAGCATAACTTTAATTTTCACCAATAAAAGCTTCGAATTTTGTTTCCTTGTTGTCGACAGAAGGAAGTTGTTTCTTAGAGGAGATCGAGCTGTGTGACAGAAGATGATCATTGTCTGTGTCATAGCACTCTCCTTCTCAGCTTCCGCTGCCACTACCACTGCTCAATCCTTCAGTAAAGTAAGTTCAGTTCTGACAGGACTTTTTCACCACTCCTTTAGCTAGTATGTGTAGAATTAGAATTATGTAAATTGTAGTTATTTCATTTGCTTCGCTATCCTAGAAATCAGTGGATCACATCTCATGCCTAAATAATGAAATAAAAATAACGTTGAATATATTAAGCATCCATTATTCATAATATAGAATACTGATCAAGTATGCAATGAACATCGAGGTGTTAATATTACGTACATTTATAAGGCAGGGTGGAAATCCAACTATATACACATCCGTGAGTGAAGACATAGTATTAAGAACGTATATTGAACAGTGTTATTGCGAAAGAAACATTGATCTTTCCTAACCTGCAGCCGTAACCTTCCGTGAAAAGGGAGATATTAGCTAACAACAAAATGAGATGAAAGAAAGTCCTGTAGTTCTATGAACTAATACAGATATATACATGAGAGTAATGCACTCAAAACCACACGTGTCACTGAATAACAGTTTCAAAAACAATCTATAACCAAAAGCTTGTCATAGATTGCTCCTAACTTAACGAAAATAGAAGTTATTCCAGCATAGCATGTACAAGAAAGCCTAAGACCTCTCAACTGATAGCATATATAACTAGAGAGATGTCGCAATAATAATAATAATAATAATAATAATAATAATAATGATAATAATAATACCAATAATAACAACAATAACAATGACAATAATAATAATATATAAAATATATCACATCATTTTTAAGTTGTAGCTTCAGTGAGAGTAAAAGATAGATGGGATACAAGGAGGCAGATAGAATAAGATATAAGCAACTATAGGAACGATGATGGGCTAGTGAGAGTATAGGCAATGAGGCTGAAGAGGTATGGGATAGATTTAAAAATGTAGTGTTAGAGTGTTCAACGTAAGTTTGTGGTTACAAGAAAGTGGGTGAGGGAGGGAAGAAGAGACATTGGTGGAATGATGAGGTAAAGAGAGTAGTAAGAGAGAAGTGATACAAAGAAGGAGGAGGAGTATATGCAGAGAAAAAGAGAGGTTAAGAAAGTGGTGAAGGAATGTAAAAGTAGAGCAAATGAGATATCTACATATATTGCTGAGAATAATAAAACGTTTTGGAGTGATACTAAAAGTTGAGAAAGCCTAGGAAACGAATAGATTTTACAGTTAAAAATAGGAGAAGAGAGTTATTAGATGAAGAGTTAGATGTGTTGCGATGAAGGGAATATTCTGAGGAACTATTAAATGATGATGAAGAAAGGGAGGCTGTAATTTCGTCCACTGAGCAGGGAAGTATAACATCTTGTAGGAGTGACGAAGTCCCAGTGGTGAGTGTGGGGGCAGTGCCTGAGGCATTGAGTAAAATAAAAGAGAATAAAGCAGCTGTGATTGATGGGATAAAGGCAGAAACGTTAAAAGTAAGTCGGGGTATAGCATTGGAATGAGTGGTGCATTTATTTTATAAATGTATGGAAGAGGGGAAAGTACCTAAGGATTGGCAGAGAGGATCCCTGGAGTATACGTCGAGAAGGTTACAGAGGTCAAAGCCCACGCGGCCCTGGTCAGGTATTGACTTTAGGTGCCTGTCCAGCATCTTCTTGAAGGCAGCCAGCAGGTGCATTGGTAATCCCCCCTTATGTATGCTGGGAGGCAGATGAACAGTCTTGGGCCCCTCAAACTTATTGTGTTCTCTCTTAGCGTACTTTCGGCGTCCCTGCTTTTCATTGGGGGATGTTGCACTGCCTACTGAGTCTATTGTTTTCGTATGGGGTAATTTTCGAGTGCAAATTCGGTACTAATCTCTCTAGAATTTTCCAAATGAATATTATTTATGTTTCTTGTCTGCATTCCAGGGAATACGAGTCAAGGCACTTCAACCATTCCCTTTAATTTAGGTGCTTTATCATACTTATGTGTGCCATGAAGGTTCTCTATTCATTCTGCAGGTCAGCAATTTCCCCTGCCTTGAAAAGCGCCCTTAGAGTACACCAATATTCCAGCCTGGCATCCCTACTTTTGAAGGTTCTCATTATTCATCCTATCATTTTTCTAGCAGATATGGTAGATACATTGTTATGATCTTTGAAAGTAAGATTCTTAGACATTATTACTACCAAGTCCTCCACATTAGTTTTTCGCATGCATAGTCCTTTTCTACAAAGGCAAAGGGGACTAAAGAGTGTAAAAATATAGCAGATTAAGCTTGTTGAGTATACCTAGTAAAGTGTATGGTAGAATAATTATTGAAATAATTAGGGTGGGCCTTAAAAGACGTGCTGTTTTTCATTCCTCCACCACTCGCCACAACCAGTGGATTTCTCACAGGTACCTTGTGCATGCACATTTCTTATGCTCACCAAATCCGTTTGCTTTATCAGTCCTCGCCACACCAGTCACCATTACCACGATCGTTTCAGCTACTGGGTTAAGCCCTGGTACTATTTCTTCCTTTCATAACATTCCTCTCACCAATCTATTCTTTCCCTATCCCCACTTCCCCGCTCACCCCATAAAGGTCTTACCTACACACTCTTGTCCAGTCTAAAAATTAAGAGTAAAACGGAGAGCAGGATCGCAAATGAACAAGGACGCTTTAGGAAGGGTATGGAGTGAGTAGACCAAGTGTTTTCAGTGAAACACATTGGCGAACAGTGTTTAGATGAGGGTAAAGAGGTTTTTGTTGCGTTTATGGATTTAGGAAAGGCATATAATAGGGTGGATAGGGGGGCAATGTGGCAAATGTTGCAAATGTATGGAATAGGAGGTAGGTTACGGAAAGCAGTAGAGCTTTTACGAGAATAGTGAGGCTCAGGTTAGAGTATGTATAAGAAAGATTATGCCTTAGACAGGGATGTGTGATGTCACCATGGGTGTTCATTTTATTTATAGATGGGGTTGTAAGAGAAGTGAATGCTCAGGTTTTAGCAAGAGGTGTGAGGTTAAAAGATGAAGACTCTAACACAAAGTAGGAGTTTACACAGTTGCTTTTTGCTAATGATACCATACTTTTAGAAGATTCTCAGGAGAAGTTGCAGAGGTCGGTGGACGAGTTTGGTAGAGCATGCAAAAAAATTTAATTAGAAGTGAACACAAGGATGAGTGCACTGAGGAGTCTGTGGAGACAAAGAACATTTTCCATGGAAGCAAAGAGGGAAATGTATGAGAATATAGTTATACCAATGCTCTTATATGGGTGTGAAGCATGGGTGGTGAATGTTGCAACAAGGAGAAGGCTGGAGGCAGTGGAGATGTCGTGTCTGAGGTTGTGTTGTGTGAATATTATGCAGAGATTCTGTTGTTTGGAAATTAGGAGGAGGCATGGGGTTACTAAAATTATTATCCAGAGGGCTGTGGAAGGGTTGTTGAGGTGGTTTAGACATTTAAAGAAGATGAAACGAAACAATGACTACGAGAATGTATAAATCTGTAGTGGAAGGAAGGCAGGGTAGGAGTTGGCCTAGGAAAGATTTGAGGTTGGGGGTAAAGGAGGTTTTGCAAGTGAGGTGTGTGTTAGGAGCGAGTAGATGCAAATGGATTTTATGACTTCATGAGGTGTTGGAGCGTGAGCAAGGTAACATTTATGAAGGGATTCTAGTAACCGGTTAGCCAGAGTTGAGTCCTGGAAGTGGAAAGTACAATGCCTGCACTCTGAAGGAGAGGTGTTGATACGTAGCAGTTTTTTAATTGTATTGTAGGCGTGCTTCTTGCAAGACAGTGATGGAGTGAATGATGATGAAAGTGTTTCTCCTTTTCTAGGGTCACTCTCCCTATGTGTTAAAAAATATTTAATAATAATAATACCTCTTCAAGGGGGGCTCCTTGGCGTGGTGAAGAGGCTCTTGGTCTGAGGCATTAGACCTGTCGGTCTCCTTCCTCAGACCGAACCTAATTACCCCCCAATTCCCCATTCCCTATCCCATCCTCCCCATCCTCCCCTTTTTCCTTTCCTCCTCCTCC